AAGAAAAATATATATATATGTATATATATATACAGACTAGAATTTATATGTATATATATTTCATATAAATTATATATCCTAGCCTCAAACTCAGAGATCTGTAAATATACGTACATATCTTACACTAAGCTAGAATAACGTGTGCACTGGGTATGTTCTTTGATCCAAACATCAGTCCCATGGAGTGGGGAACTTAGGTTACTCTGACACTAAAGAAAATGGTTAGAATGGCTTGCCCGAAGCTGTGCACACGCTAGGCGGTGAAGCCGGGATGTGGCTTTATGGTCACTGCCTGATCTTTTCAATTACTACAAGTCGTGGGTCACACACCTTCTTTGCTCCTCTCCCTAGCCCAGCCTGAGAATCATGCTGAAGCCCAGGAGGTCACGATTGGCTCCGAGTCCGTGCCTGTTGCCCGCTGTATCTCCACAGGGGGCCGCCCACCTGCCCGGATCACCTGGATCTCATCTCTGGGTGGAGAGGCCAAAGACATTCAGGAGCCCGGTCCACAGGCTGGCACCGTCACAGTCACCAGCCGATACTCCTTGGTGCCGGTGGGCCAAGCACATGGCGTCAAGGTCACTTGCAGAGTAGAACACGAGAGCTTCGAGGAGCCGATCCAGCTGCCAGTGACGCTCTCCGTGCGCTGTGAGTGTGATGGGAGGCAGCTTTCCCTCACTCGATCAAACAAGAAAATAGAAGAATGTGTCACATAAGCTGTTCCACCTCCCAGAAGGGGTTTGCCTGTAAACCACCCCGCCCCGTTGTTTTTTCGTCCCCTGACAGTCTTCATCAACTGGACCACGGTCCCCGCTGCCCACCGCAGCACTGTTGGCGCGCTTTGTTCATTGATTCCTTTTTGGAGACAGAGTTTCACACCTAACCTGGTTTAGCCTCAGACTCGCCAGACGGATGAGCCTGTGAGCCCCGCTCACTTCCGAAGTGCTGGGATTACCACTAACACAGCGCACACCTTCAATCCCAGCACTCGGAAGATAAAGGCAGGCGGATCTCTGTGAGTTCAAGGCCAGCCTGGTATACAGAGCAAGTCCAGGACAGGCTCCAAAGCTACACAAAGAAATCCTGTCTTGAAAAAACCAAACAATACAAAACAGTGGTTGGTCCCGGTTCTGTGAGGTGCTGGGAGTGGAGCACAGCCTGGTGGGTGCTGAGCAAGCATCGCCCCCCCACCCCCGCTTTAAATTGCCTCCCTAGGGGTCTTGGAGTTCCCCCAGTCTTCCTGACGGAGGCTAGCATTTCCAGAAACTGCCTACAGTGACAACCCCCAGTCACTCTCTACATAAAGGCTGGGATTCTACCTGCTTCATTCTTGTATTGAGTCAGGGTCTTACTATGTAACCCTGGCTGGCCAGAAACTTTCTGTGCAGACCATGCTATCCTCCAACTCACAGAGATACGTCCTTCTGCTTCCTGGAGTGCTGGGATTAAAGGCATGCATCGCTATGTACAGCAGTTTTGCTTTGGTTTGGGGTTTTTTGTTTTGTTTAGTTTTGGCTTTTGAAGACAGAGTTTCTCTGCGTAGCCCTGGCTGTCCAGGAACTCACTGTGTAGACCAGGCTGGCCATGAACTCAGAGATCTGTCCGTCTCTGCCTCCCAAGTGCTGGCATGTGTCTGTATCTGTGCTCATGAGTGGAGTAGGCCAGAGGTCTTAGAAGCCCCTAGAGTTGGAGTCACAGGCCGCCATGAGTTGCCTGATATGGGTGCTGGATTCTCAGTAAGAGCTGTACATAGTGCTGAGCCTTCTCTGCAGTCTTTGTTTTTTGAAAAAGATCTCGGGCAAGGCTAACCTTGAGCTCTGTGTAGCGACAGGTAGCCTTGAACTCCTGCTCTTCCTGCATCTACTTCCTTACTGCTAGGATTACAAGCTTGAGCCAGGCCACGCAAACCTATTATCTTCAGCGCCACCCTGTCCGCTCACTCACTGACCCAGGACACCAGTGGAATAGCTGTGCCCTTCACTGTGAGATAAAGTCCTCCTACCTTGTCTGCAGTGGCTCCTTCCAGCCATATTCATCCTGAGATCCTCTGTGAGCCTGTCCACCCTGACTTCCTGTCTTTCTACACTGGTCGCCCCGAACTATCTAGATGTACTGTCTCCTGTATGGAGTACTCTAGGCACGTTGAATCGGGAGCATGCACACACAAAACACACACACAATACCTGTAGTTGTTTTCTTGGCCCTGCCTGAGCTGACATTCAAGTGGCTTCCTGGGTGGGGTTCACACTGGTCAGAGCATTTATGGTGTAGCCTGCTAACCCCAGGTGGTTATGATCCATGGTTTCCTGCCACCCCCCAATTCTGGAGTCTACTTGTCTCTGAGTCAGTCTCTTCCTCTCAGACCCTCCCGAAGTGTCCATCTCTGGCTATGATGACAACTGGTACCTCGGCCGCAGCGAAGCCATCTTGACCTGTGATGTACGCAGCAACCCAGAGCCCACAGGCTACGACTGGAGCACGTGAGTGACATGAACCTAGGACCGGGTGTGGGGAAGAGAGCTGGGGCCTAGAACCCTGGGTCTGAGGGAGGAGGCTTGGAGTCTGGGCCCCCAGGACTTAGGGTTGCCATCTCCGGGACAACCTCCTCCCCCCGGGTGCCTGCTTCACTGCTGTTCACCTCACCCCACACCCTTAGGACCTCAGGCGTCTTCCCGACCTCCGCAGTTGTCCAGGGGTCTCAGCTCCTTGTCCACTCTGTGGATCGAATGGTCAACACTACCTTCATCTGTACAGCCACCAATGCTGTGGGGACAGGTCGTGCTGAGCAGGTCGTCCTGGTGCGAGGTAAGGAGGTCTTGGCATTTGAGTATAAAGCCCTGTGGTTTCTCCCGTTGGGACTTGGGTGCACTGATGCTGCCTTAGGATGAGAGGGAGTCAAAATTCCCTCGATCTGCACAGATAAGTGCATAGTTCAGCTTCTCCATCTCCGCCTGCAGGTGTAGGCTGTAATGGGGGTGACCAGAGAGGAGAGCTGGCAGAAGAGTTCCCAAGTGGGGGCCTGCACTGAGTTATCTTAAAAACCAAGGCCTAAGCTGGGTATGAGGTGCGTCTATAGTCCCAGCATTTATTCAAGAGACTGAAGCAGGAGGATTACTGTGAGGCTAGCCTTTGCTACATAGTGAGACCCTATTTCAAAGAAAGAAAGCACCCAAAGTTCAGTGAGAGAGGAGAACCGGTGAATCTATGATGGACACAGGAGCTAATGACAGCTGTCGAGGTTTGTCCCCAGCAGCAGACAAGACTGTCATAACGTTGTCTTGGGACTACTGATGGATAAACTCACACCAAACAAGTTTGCTCAGTCATGAGAACCACAGTCAAGACCCACAAGCTGGCCATGAGCCAAGGCTGGGAATTCTCTTGAAACTTGGAAATCCAGTCACCCAGATGTAACCTTTTATAGTCAGAACCATTGTCACTGAGACACATCCCAAGAAAGAGTGGCACTGGCCAGGGCCTATAACATGCCACAGGAACCAGGAAAGAACTGTTCTTAGAACACCCTTAACCAGACCTGGAGGGGGCTGAGGTGAAAGAATAAGAAGTTTAGGGCCTACATGGACTACAGCGTGAGTTCTGAGTTAGCCTGGGCTACAGAACAAAACCATAATCTCAGAAAATAAAATATACCATAAAATAAAATATGACAAGAGACTTAGGGAAGTGGCTCAGTGGTAGAGCCCCTGCCTAGAATCCCCCATGAGGGACCGGGGTGTGGTTCAGTGGTAGAGCCCCCCTGCCTAGAATCCCCCAGTGAGGGAATGGGGTGTAGCCCAGTGGTAGAGCACTTGACTAGCATGTTGGAAACCTTAAGTTCAATCCTCAGTATGGAAATATAAAAGAAGACTTAGAAGTACCACTGTAGATACCACACAGTTTGCCTATGCAAATACATTAATCTGAAATACAGACCTTACCAAGCAGGACCTGAGCCCCTCAGAAACACAGCAAATGGCTTAGAGAGAAAGTAAATGACAGCTCAGCCCTGTGGTGCAGTTGGACATGCGCTTCTTGAGAACACATCTTTGCTGAGACACACACAACTTTTGCTCATACACCCATGGCAAGCTGACTTGCCTGTAGGAACAGAAACTTGCCTTGCTCATCAGCTCTGAACTCTTGGGGACATATACTTGGATGATAACATTGTCAAACAGACCCACAGTTCACATACAGAAACATCTTTCCTTACACACCTGAAGAACATTCTAGAAGATGCTTCTGCATTCAGAAATTCCATTATAGAGATTCTGAGTCACTAGGTAATCTGCTAAGCAATTCTTATTGAGGTTTCCTCTTGAACACAAGTTCTTTTCTTTCTTTCTTAGATTTATTTATTATGTATACAGTGTTCTTTCTGCACATATGCCTGCAGAAGAGGGCACAAGATCTCATTACAGATGGTTGTAAACCACCATGTGGGTACTGGGAATTGAACCCATGACCTCTGGAAGAGCAGTCAGTGCTCTTAACCCCTGAGCCATCTCTCCAGCCCCCACAAATTCTTTAGTATTGGAGGTATGATAACAAATAAAGGTGCAGTCCTTGTGCTAAGGTTCAGCCAGTGGAACCCAGCTCCACCCACTAGGAAACATGCTCAGCTGGAGCTATACCCTAAAGTCTCAGAAGACTCAACCGGGTTTGGGACCCGAAGAATGGAGGATACAGACTCTCTCTCTATGTTTCTCTCCCTCTCTCTCTCTTTCCATTTTGATGTTTTCCTAAAAAAATAAATAAGTGCTGCTCTTGAGATTTTTATATCAATTACTATTTCAGGCAGTTTTTGTTGTTATTCTGAAGCAATGCTTGAAGCCATCTTCTTTATAAAAGGAGGTTTCTCTCAGCTCAGGGACCCGGGGGTGCAGCTCCTATAGGTCTCATCTAGTCCCAGCCTTCTTGCTTGTACATTCAAGGAAAGCCAGCGGGGCATCGCATGGCAGAGGTGAGGAACGCGTGGATACGTATGTTCCTTTCTCTCATGTTTTGAAACAGCCCAAGCCATCTCTGACTCTGAATAGTCCAGCTTCTGCCTCCAAAGTGCTGAGGCTGTCCCTAGCTTGCTTAGTCCGGGCCTAGTTTAATAAATAGTCTGCTGTACAGTCAGATACTCCTAAACCCCAAGTGCAGAGAGAAACCTGGTGGGCTGGAGAGATGGCTCAGTGGTTAAGTGTGGCTTGCTCTTGCAGAGACCCCCCAGTTAATTGGATTCACAGTACCCATATTGGACAGCTGACACCTGCCTCTTAACTCCAGCTACAGGGAGATCGGATGTCTCTGGCTTCATGGGGTTCTTGCATTCACATGTTCATACATCTACACACACACACACACACACACACACACACACACACACACACACACACACAGTTAAAAATAAAATCTTTGAAAGAAAAGTTGGACAACCAAAGAAAAACTGCCGTATAAAAGAGTCACCCTTGACTCCCATAAAGGTAGCCATTGGCGGGACACTTGTTGAGACAACTGGAAGATCAAACATCTGTTCATCCAAAATAGGGAATTGGACAGGTCCCTGTGTGGGTAGCACCATGTACCAACTTGGTGAGCCCATGCATTGTGCTGAGGTTATTTACGGTACATACATGATACAAGGACAGCCGCATCATCAGAGTCCACCCCAGCGTCGGTGACAGTTCAGACTGGAGCACATGATGCAGCCTACGGGCAACTCACTTGTCTCTGTGTTTGTGGCACTGGGCAGCTCAGCTGGTCTGAGAGTCACTCGGCCTTCCTTACTGCTTCTCTAGGCTTAGAGAGGGCGCAAGGGAGTGACCCGGCCTTGCAGCTCATCACTTTCTGGTACTTTGAGCTGTTTATTTTCTGAGCTTAAATGCATCCCTGGGGATGGACTGCTTCGCCTCCCTTTTAACATTCAAGCTCAGCACTGGCTACTTAGTGAATCCAGACCCAGCCTGTGCAGCCTGAGGCCATCTCAGAAAACCAGACAAGCTGGGTGTGTAGCAGTGTGGTCCGGTAATCACAGCACCTGGGAGACAGAGGCAGGAGGATTTCTTTGAATTTGAGGGCAGCCTGGTCAGCATAGCAGCCATATCTAAGCCAGCCATATCTTTTATTTTTTTTAAATATTTATTTATTATATATACAATATTTTGTCTGTGTATATGCCTGCAGGCCAGAAGAGGGCACCAGACCCTATTACAGATGGTTGTAAGCCATCATGTGGTTGCTGGGAATTGAACTCAGGACCTTTGAAAGAGCAGGCAATGCTCTTAACCACTGAGCCATCTCTCCTGCCCCCCAGCCATATCTTTTAAAAGGAAAGAAAGGAAGGGAATAAATCCATTTGGCCGTAGTTGGAGAGATCCACCCACACCAGGAAAACGAGGTTTCTGGGTCCAGCTGCCCTCTGAGGACATAAAGTCCTGCTCCCCGGCACATATCCGTGATTCCAACATATTCAGTCTCACTAGAACATGGTTGTAGATGCTCAACAATTAAAACACAAGTGGGCACACTGTGACACATGGCAGCCTCTGCAAACACCTCACACCTTTGACTCACACACAAGTGACTAGACTCTGCCCGTGCTCCAGAGCTCCTCCTCTCCAGCTTCATGGGTGCACCCACATTTCCAAGGAAGAAAACTGAGGGACGCACTGGCCAGCACTCAGAGGGCCTCATTCCTGCCTCCGGTACAGTACTTAGAGACAGTTACTGTCGATCTCCTTTCAGAGGCCACACCCACTGTCGCAGATTCGAGTCCTTACACAGAATAATCTCCTGTTTGCATAGAATTTGCACACAACCCCCAAAACTATTACTTTATTACTATTTTTTTATTACTTTGTTTGATTTTGTGTTTTGTTTGTTGTTTTGAAGCAGGGTCACACTGTGTAGCCCTAGGTGGTGGGGGGCTCACTACGTGCACCAGGCTGGCCTTGAACTCAGAGACCTGCCTGCCTCTGCTTCCTGCATGCTGGGATCAGAAGCAGGCCATAACTGTGCCCAGCATGGCACTCCATTTGAAAACATCACTTAGAAACTGGATGTGGCAACCCAGCTCTGTAATTTCAGCACTTCAGAGGTGGAGATAAGGAGATCAGGAAGCTGAGGATGGCTTGAGATTCATGGAATCCTCTCAAAAACCAAAACAAAATCCAAAAGCGATAGCTCTGTGACTAGGGGAGTAGCTAAGAGGCAGGGTCTCTGCCTAGAATCCCCCACTGAGGGGCTGGGGAAATGGTTCAGTGGTTGAGCATGTTTTCATCATGAACAGAGTCTGGATTCCATTCCCAGTGCTATGAAAGAACTCGAAGGTTGGCAGAAGAATCCAGCTTGGCCAACAGACCGGAAGTAGCATAGCTGTCAGGGAATGCTAACTGGTTACATGTGGCCAAACAACTTTCACAGCTGGCTAGCAAGTTCACCAGTCAGGAACCCATTTGTATCTCCATTAGCTGGCTGAGGGCCATCGGGACAGCCCACAGGATTTTTGTATTGTAAAAAAGGCTCCTGGTGGGCCACAAGGCTTCCAATCCCCTGTCCCGTTGACTTCCTGTATGTTCCCCACCAGGCTGAACAGGTGGGGAGGGGTCCGTGGGAGGTGAGCATGAGGCAGCCATGGTGCAGGGAACACTAGAAAGAGCAGTGTGAGGTGGGCGAGGTGACTTGAGATCTCCCAAACCAGGAATGGTCAGTGCTTCCATTCCTCCTCCTGCCTGCATATTCTGGGCCTGAGTGGAAGGGAGCAGAGGGGCTCTACTTACTCCTACCTCTCATCCTGAGCTGCTACATACATACAAGGGGCTGGGACCCCACCCCCTGACTACATGCTACTGACTTTACTGTCTTTTGTTGTTTTGAGGGAGGGATGGAGACAGCCTGGACTCAAATGTGGGATCTTAACCTGAGTTTCCCCAGTAGATTCAGTTGCAGGTCACAGAAGTGGGTTTAATTCTGCAAGTTGGGTAATGCTGGAGATGGGATACAGGGCCTCAGACTGGGCAAGCAAATGCTCTACCACTGAGTGTCCCAAACCCCGCACTGGGAGATTCTAGGCTCTACCACTGAGCCACACCCCCAAACCCTCACTGGGGGGATTCTAGGCAGGGGCTCTACCACTGAGCCACACCCCAGCCCCTCACTGGGGGATTCTAGGCAGGGGCTCTACCACTGAGCCACACCCCCAGCCCATCACTGGAGGACTGTAGGTAACCGTTCTACGGCTGACCAACATCCTCAGCCCAACAACTTTTCCTCCTGAGAATTTTTAGGATCGTCTCACTATGTGGCCTTGATGGCATGCTTGCCTTGCCTTATTCTCCCAGTTGCTAGCGTGACAGTCTTGTGCCACCACACCTTGCTGCGGTCTTCATTTTTGAGCATGTTGTAGGTACAGATAGCTATCTAAGGCAGCATCAGCTGGCAGCCTCTCCTTAATACAGTTCCCACCCTGGCGTGAAGGGTCATGCACACCCCTTCATCTTCCACCTCGCCTTTCTCCTCCCTTCTCCCCCTTAGTCCCCTCGTAAGTTCTGGTCAGTAACCCGTGTCCTGGGTCTCCCCCATGCCCTCCCCCCCCCCAGATGTGTCCTCTTGACTCCCTCTCCTCTTTTTCTCTCTCCTTCCTTTCTCCTCAGACACCCCCCAGGCCTCCCGAGATGTGGGTCCGCTGGTGTGGGGGGCCGTGGGGGGAACATTGCTGGTGCTACTTCTGGCTGGGGGGTTCCTGGCCTTCATCCTGCTGAGGGGGAGGAGGAGGCGGAAGAGCCCTGGAGGAGGAGGAAATGATGGCGACAGAGGAGCCTACGATCCAAAGACTCAGGTGTTTGGGAACGGGGGTCCTGTCTTCTGGAGGTCGTCATCCCCAGAGCCCATGAGGCCAGATGGCAGGGAAGAGGAAGAGGAGGAGGACGAAGAGGCGAAGGCCGAGGAAGGCCTCATGCTGCCTCCACACGAGTCACCCAAGGAAGACATGGAATCTCATTTGGATGGCTCCCTCATTTCTCGGCGGGCAGTTTATGTGTGACCCCACGCTGTAGACACCGGACACATAGAGACGCCAATTCCCACCCCCACTGCCAACCACACCAACGCCAGCCAGCAATGGGATGGCTAGGGACCGGTTGGACTGGTTCTTCAGCACACCGGAGTTGGAAGGCCACCTCCCCAGTTTCTGGATGAAGGACAAGTGGAACCACACACCAGACTCCTATCTCCAGGCCCTCATGGCCCCCAAGAGCGCCATGGTGCACACTCAGGACTCCTTAGAGCTTTGCTTTCGGCCCCAGCCTGGCCCTGGCCCCGAAACACTCAGGAGCTAATAAATGCCTTGTCAGAAAAACTTAGGGGTGTTTTGTAATACATCAGACCCCTCTTTGTGTCCTGGGGAACAAGTGGGTGGGACAGAGACCCTAAGTACTGAAGCTTGAAAGAAAAAAATCTCCAGATTGGGAGATGTCACGGCACTTGCACCCAAGCTCCCCTGTAGCTGCTGGGATTGAGAATGGGGTCCCTAACTTTGAGGCGCAGAGACAGGAGTATGGGGAAGGGAGCTTGAACTCTTGGACAGATGGTGAGCAATTGGCTTGGGGCTGAGTTTCCTCGGGGAGAGAAAGGCTGACTCCCTTGATTCTGAGTTCTAATGATCTGTGGGGTGGGGGCCCACACAGGTCTCCTTTTTCTATTGTGGAAGGTCCTAGGAATGGAAGGCTGCTTCTCTCTGTATTTGGAGACCTCAAGGATGTAGAGGCAGGTTCCAGGTGTTGGTGATACCCAGATGGTCCTACCTTGACGTCCTCAAAGTGTCCTGTCCTGGGTGACTCCCACTCTCTTAACAGGGTTTGGTCCCATGGGAGTTACCAGAAATTCTGATGGACCTCACCTCCCCCACACCACACACACACATATATTCACACGCACAACATATAGAGCAGAAACACATGTTTCTTCAGCTAGCAATCTGAATCCTAGCATACCAAACCATCTGCCCCTGGGAGAAGGAGGTGAGCTTAACCCCTGTGCCTCATCCCCCCCCCCCCCACTCTGTGGCTTCTTGAGACACTAGGATCAGAGGACGCCTTCTGGGTGGGTGGGGCAGCCAGGAAGCCTGGATGTGTGCACTTCCTCAACCAGGAGTCATAGATCCCATAATGCTAAGCCTGTGTCCACCATGCTGGGGACACAAAAGTGGTGCAGATCACAGAGCTCTGAACTGTGGGAATGTGGCCAGCCAGCAACAATGGCAGGAAGAGTTGAGTGTTTGCGATGGCCTTGTGTCGCGCACTCTTGCTGGCCCCCCCAACACACACACACACACACACACACACACTGGAAACTCATGGAGGATGCCCAGCAGGAGAGCGGATGCTGACTGCACACCCTGGACAGCTTCCCCTCTGAGTTTGGGAAGCACATTAACTAACGTCATTGGTGACTCTAGAGCTTTGCATCCGTGTCTATTCTGGGTGTTCATGGCCGGTGCCCACCATCTTCTCCGTCCTGAGAGCAGGGCCAGCAATTTGCTTCATTTCTGTCTGCACACAGATCATCTCTCACAGGTCTGCCTGTGGCCAAGCCAGGCCTATGGACCCAGTGAGGAGGCAGGGCCTTTACTCCAGGAACCCTGCCATACTGAACAATTGGGGATGAGAAACCGTGTGAGCTCTCCTGATGGGCCTAAAAACATGACGTTCCCTTAATACTGAAGGGTTCTGCTCCTGACACCTCAGCCTGCCCTCCACACCCTTCCCCTCTCTCTTCTTCACTCAACACCAGTCTTCATGCTGTTCCTGTTTGTACTTTTTTCTGTATGAGACAGTCCTCAAATGCTCTCTACCACGGTTGAACTTGAAGAACTGCCTACTGCTTCCCCCTTATGTGTGGATATTGTTTTGCTTTTGTTTTTTGTTTGTTTGGTTTGGTTTGGTTTGGTTTGGTTTGGTTTTTCTAGACAGGGTTTCTCTAGCTTTGGAGCCTGTCTTGGAACTAGCTCTTGTAGACCAGGCTGGTCTCGAACTCACAGAGATCCGCCTGCCTCTGCCTCCTGAGTGCTGGGAGTAAAGGAGTGAGCCACCATCGCCCGGCTTGTTTGTTTTTTGAGACCCTCTTGGCCATGTGGCTCTGACTGTCCTGGAACTCACTCTGTAGCCCAGACTACGTTCATACTCTTGACATTCCTCCTGCTTCAACCTCTTGAGTGCTGCAATTATAGGTGCCTCTAACCTCTCACAACTGGCTCTCCTTGTTCCTTAAAAAAAAAAAAAAAGGCTGCCCCAGGACCTTTGCACTAAGCTATTTCTCTACAGTACAACACAGAGGACTCAACTCAAAATATCCCTTCACAGATAAGCCCTGTCTGCCTGGCTTTCTGTCACTCCTTGTCCCTCTCCCCATTCTGAACATTCTGAACTGTGTGACCAGTGCCAGCTTGACATTAGATAGCACCCAATCTGCTTGTTTGCTGTTGGCCAAAGTCAGCCTGGGCTACCTTAAGACCCTGGGCAGTGAGCTCCATGAAGGTGGGGACTTTCTGCATTTAGTTCATTTCCACATCTCTTCCCACCTACACAGGTGAGATGTCCCTGAATCAGGTGCACAGGGCAGTTGTTTGAAGCAAAGCCCCATCCATGGTGGGGTGGACAGGCAGAGGATGTGCTCAAACACTGAATACTTGCCTAGCATGCTTGAGGCCCTGGGTTTAGTTTCCTGTACAGCCAAAGGAAACAAGACCAGAAGGCAGGCTTGCATTCGGCCTGGGCTACATAGTGAGACCCTGTCTCAAAACAGCCATTTAGAAAGATTGGTATCTGTGGTATCTGAGGAATGAAGCTGGAAGCAGCAGCTATGAGGTCCTCTTAGTAAGCCCCATGTTTTCTTTGTCCTAACAGAGTCACCCAGCACAGCAGGCGCAGGGGCCACAGGCGGCATCATCGGAGGCATCATCGCCGCCATCATTGCCACTGCAGTGGCTGCCACAGGCATCCTCATTTGCCGACAACAGCAGAAGGAGCAGAGGCTTCAGGGGGCTGATGAGGAAGAAGAGTGAGTGATGGGGTCTTGAGAAGTGTTTGGGAGTAGGGATGTCAAAGTTGGGGAGCACATCAGAGTTGGGGAGCACAGGGTGGGGACAGAAGGAGAAATCCTAAAGGTGGTGTGAGACAGAGACAGCACCGTGAATAACCATAACTAACAGTGGTGAGGAAAGATTTTTCTCTTCCTTGTGAAATATGGGTATTAGAAACTCTCTGACATGTCGTAAGAGCCCAGGCCCCAACTATCTTGTTGCTCCACCTTCTCCTGAGCTTCAGCTCTTAAGGGATGCTAAGTGTGGGTTCCCAGCACTTGGGAGGTAGAAACAGGAGGATCAGAAGTTCAAGGCCATGCTCCCTCTGTTACATCTGTCTCAAAAAAACAGCAATTAAAAAAAAAAAAACTAAGAAAAAAGGTACAGGAGCCAGGGAGATGAGTCAGTTGCTAAGAATTTGAATTCCATCCCTACTGCCTTTATTAAAAATAGATAAATAAATCAGCCAGGTGGTGGTGCACAGTTGTAATCCCAGCACTCGGGAGGCAGAGGCAGGCAGAGCTCTGAATCAGAGGTCAACCTAGTATACAGAGAGAGTTCCAAGACAGCCAGGGCTACACAGAGAAACCCTGTCTTAGGGGGAAGAAAAGTGTAGTGGTGAATACTTGCACCCCATCACTGAGGGAGCAGACAGGTGGCCTAGCATACTTGCTGTTCCACTCTGTCTTCGTTTCTGTCCTATTGCTGGGAAGAGACACCGTGACCAAGACAGCTTTTTTTTTTTAAAGAATTATTTCTTTATTATGTACACAGTGTTCTGCCTGCATGTACGCCTGACAGAAGAGGGCACCAGATCCATTGCAGATGGTTGTGGGCCACCATGTGGTTGCTGGGAATTGAACTCAGGACCTCTAGAAGAACTGCCAATGCTCTTAACCTCTGAGCCATCTCTCCAGCCCCTGACCAAGACTGCTATTAAAGAAAGGCATTTAATTGGGGGCTTGCTTACAGATTCTGGGGCAAGTCCATGATTGTCATGGTGCTGGCAGTAGGCAGTCCTGGCACTGGAGCGGTCGCAGGGATCTTAAGTGCTAATCCCAGGCAGCAGGCGGAGAGAGAATGAGACTGATCCTGGGCTTTTGAAATCTCAGAGTGACAAACCTCAGTGACACACATCTCCTCCAACAAGGCCACACCTCTTAATCCTTCCCAAACAGTTCCATTAACTGGGATACAAACATATAAGCTCATACAAACATATAAGCATACAAACATATAAGCTCATGGGGATCGTTCTTGTTCAAACCACCACACAGGCTGATGAGAAACAATCTCAACAAAATTGAGATATTGGCCAGCAAGATGACTCAGCCAGTAAAGATGCTTGCTGCTAAGCCTGATGACCTGAGTTCATTCCCTGAAATCCACATGGCGGAAAGGGAGAGAGCCCTTCCACAAGTTTTCCTTTGACCTCAGCATGCATGAACATGTGTGTATCACACACAGAGTCAGAGAGAGAGACTAAATAAATAAATGTAATCTTAAAATTTAATATAAGGGGGCTGAAGAGATGGTTCAGAGGTTAAGAGCACTGGCTGCTCTTTCAGAGGTCCTGAGTTCAAGTCCCAGCAACCGCATATTGGCTGACAACCATCTGTAATGAGAAATGAGATCTGGTGCCCTCTTCTGGCCTGCAGGGATACATGCAGATAGAACACTGTATACATAATAAATAAATTTAAAAAAAATAATAATAATGTGCACAATAACCAAGGATGATGGTATACACTTATGATCCCAGATCTCAGGAGGATGAGGTAGGAGGATTGAGAATTCAAGGGCAGTTTCAGATGCCCTATCTCACAACCAATAGTACATTCCCATTTCCGGGCCAGCCCCGAAACCCACTGAGCCAGAATTCCCACAAGAAGACTGGGTTTTGAATTAGTAAAATGCTTCCTAAATGACTCTGCTGTATAAGTCTACTGTTTTCTTCTTTAATTTAAAGAAGAAGAAAAAGCCGGGTGGTGGTGGCAGACAACACAATCCCAGCCCTGAGGAGGTAGAGGCAGGCAGATCTCGAGGCCAGCCTGGTCTACAGAGCAACTTCCAGCACTGCTAGGGATGTTTGTAAAGCCAAAAAAAAAAAAAAAAGATTTATTTTTATTTTCTTTGTATGACATATAAGTAGAGACATATAAGCAAGCAAACATATACTTGCTTATATGTCTCTACTTATTATGCCCAAATCCGCAAAGTTCCCCAAAAAGCCAACAAGGAGACCAAGTCCCATATGTAAAAGCAAAGAGCCTTTATTTTTTTGTTTGGTTGGTTGATTGGTTTTATTTTTTGAGACAGGGTTTCTCTGTGGCTTTGGAGCCTGTCCTGGCACTAGCTCTTGTAGACAGGGGGCAGAGGACGACCTAGGATGGCATTCCCCAGGCTCCACCCACCTTGGTCTGTTTGTTTTTGAAACAGGATCCCACTAGCACCCGTTGGCCTGGAACTCCTCAAGTAGGCAGGGCTGGTCTTGAACTCAAGATTCCCTCCTCAGTGCTGGGGTCACAGGTCTGCCCCACACACCTGGCTCACTTATTTGAATGAGAATTTTTTTTTTTTTTTTTTTTTTTTTTTTTTTTTT